AGGGGTGGTCTCGATGCCATGCCCAAACGTGTTCCCCTGCTCCCCCTTACCTGAGCTGTCTTGTGGGGCCGTGCAGGCAGCTTTGGCTTGGGATGCTTGGGGGAGCTGACAGCCCCAGCACAGGGTGGTTCTGGCAGCATGGTGTTATATTTTGCAGGGTTCCTTAGGCTTCCCTGGTGAGCGAGGACCCAAAGGTGACAAGGGAGACTCGGGTGACCCCGGCCCCCAGGGTCCCATGGGCCGTGCTGTGGGCGAGCGGGGTCTCGAGGGGCCGCCCGGGCAACCGGGGGAGCCTGGCAAGCCGGGCATCCCTGGGGTGCCGGGCCGGGCTGGGGAGCTGGGGGACGCTGGGCGACCTGGTGAGAAGGTGAGTGCGTGTGTGGAGGGGTGGGGCGAGAGCTCGGAGACCTGCCGGGTGATGGCCACTGCATTGTCCCCCCCAGGCCGACCGGGGTGAGAAGGGTGACAGGGGCGAGCAGGTGAGCTGGGACAGGGACACAGTCCCCTCTGTCCCCCCTGTGCTGTGCACCTCTTGGGGGACAGGGGGCTCCTCAGAGGGCAGGGACTACCCTATGGGGGCCAGGAGTGGTCGTAGTGGGGTGGCTCTGCTCTCCCATGCCCTGCTGTCCCTTTGATACTTAACCTATTTTTCTTCCCCCCAGGGCAGGGACGGCTTGCCCGGCCCCCAAGGGCCCCCAGGGCCCAAGGTAGGTGATGGCTGCTGCTGGGGGCTGTCCCCAAGGGGTGCCAGCCTGCACCTCCCGGGATGGATGGCCACATCCAATCCCTGGCATAGGGGCTTGGGAATGGCTGTGCCCCGGGGGCGAACTTCCTGGGGTCCCCTGGGTGCTGGCCTTGACTGCACCCTGCCCACAGGCAGACGTGGTGGAGGGCAGCCTGATGGGCCTCCCGGGCGAGCGTGGCCCCACCGGACCCAAGGGAGCAAAGGTGCGTGGCTGGGCAGAAAGGAGTGGGGCAGCCAGGACGACTGAGCTGGGGACAGCATGATGAGCTGGGCTGGGGCTGAGGACGGTGGTAGGGCCAGCCAGGAGGACAGCGGGGGCTGATGGCATCTGTCTTCTCACTGACACAGGGTGAGCCAGGAGCCGAGGGTGAGCGGGGACCCAAAGGAGATAAGGTCTGTGGTCGTAAGTCTCCTGCTGCCAACAGGGCAGCCCCATGAATCAAAGCCGCAGGGAAAGGCACTGCTTCGGAGCACACCTTTTTGGGTGTCACCAGGGCCTGAGGTGGGACAGGAAGGTCCCTGCCTCTCCTATGACCGTGTGCCTGTCCCCACTGCAGGGTGAGGGTGGCCCGCGGGGCGAGCGAGGGGAGCCGGGCGAGAAGGGCAGGGATGGCACCCCGGTGAGTACCACACTGTCCTCCAGCCTGGCACTGACCCCGGACCCCCGCCTGGCACTGACCCCATCTCTGTCTCTTGCTCTAGGGTCTGCCGGGTGAGAGAGGGCTGGCTGGCTCTGAAGGGAAGCCGGTGAGTGGGGAAATGGTGGGGGGAAGTGGGCTGGGACAGGGTGAGGTCCTGTGGTCCCACACGAGCCACCGCTGGCACCAGTGGGAGCCTTTGCATGTCATTCACCTCCTTCCACCCCTGTGCAGGGCTTGCAGGGCTTTAGGGGGCCTCTCGCCCCACCCTGCCAGTACCCTGGGCTGGGTACTGCACACTGGGAGTGGGGAGCATCCCTGAGGTCAGGCAGGGCTGCTTGGGGATGGTAGGCTCCCGCACACCGGCTCTGACCTTGTTCTTTGCAGGGCTTGCCAGGCTTCCCCGGCGTGCTGGGACGCCCGGTAGGTATCCGTGTCTCCCTACGTCACTGTGTCCCTCCACCTCAGCACACAGCCGTGGGTGCTGGGTGAAGCCATGGGGCCACCGTTCTGCCTGAGTGGGTGCTTGGCCCCAGGGGTCTCACCAGGATCTGGCCAGGCTTCTCCTTATTTGGCGTGGGTGCTTGCTAGAGCCACTGGCACTGTCTGGGTCTCCTCTCTCAGGGGACACTCCATGCCCCTACTGGGGAACACCCATTCCTACGGTGACCTCATCTCTTCCTCTCTTCAGGGCAGCCAGGGAGAACCGGGACCCCCAGGACCTCCGGTAAGGAGCCACCTGAGGACTGTCATACAAGGGGGATGTCAGCCAGGGCAGGGAGCAGGGGAGGGGTGATTGCCACCAGCAATCACCGCACTGACATGATATCCCCTTGTCCCCCACAGGGCAGTGCTGGCCCACCAGGGACCCAGGGCCCAGCTGGGACCAAGGTACAGGATTGGCATCGACATTGGCATCACTCCGTCCGACATGGCAGAGGAAAGTGGTGCCTTGCCAGATTTGGGGGCTGGAGGAGGCCACATTTTGGGATGTTTTGGACTGGACCCCTACCAGATCCAGCCGACCCTGGGGAATGGCAGGCGTGGGGACGGTGGGTTGGGGCAGTGGGACTGACACAGGCGCTCTCTTCGCAGGGTGATCCAGGGGAGCCTGGCTCTGGCATCCGGGTGAGCATCTGCACCCTTCCCACCAGCACCTGCCTGGCCCCCGCAAAACCATCCAGCCCCTCCAAAGCCAGCCAGCCCTGCTGCCATGCGCCTTCCCGCAGGGACAGCCGAAGCTGTGCCAGGGCAGCATGATATCCCCTCTCTAATGTGGCTGTTTCCATTGCAGGGCTTGCCCGGTCCCCAGGGCAATGTGGGACTGCCCGGCCCCCCAGGACCCTCCGGCCCGGGGGTGAGTTATCTGCAGCCCCCCAGACCTGCTTTCTGG